AGCAGAGTATAATTGCCGGCGGCGAATTTTCGATGGCTGAACTTATAATCAGGATTATAGGTAATATGTGGAAGGTGGACATCAATAATTAAGGGAGGGTGATATGGATCAGGCTTGACCAAATCAGAGTAAGAAGGACCAGGCAATAATAATAATAACGAAATTAATAAAAATAATATTAATAATAATAGTTGAATTAATTCAGTATAAGATATAAGCAGAAGCGCATCTAGCGGAGGGGCAATTTTTACTAACAGAACAGACATTGAACACAGGAAAGTCTCGAATATATCGAACAGGGACCCAAAGGCAAACAATTTCCAAAGCAGAAGAGTAAAGTATAGAACCACGATAAACTCAAAAAAGGAAGAGTGAATCAAGGTGATATTTCCTCTTTTGCAAGGTGTGCAATTTCAATTGTTCTAAAGCAAAATCGTAACAGTAATCTACTTGAGGAAAGAACGTTTTAAAACAGAGCCGTAAATTTCTGTTGAATGCGTTCTAGTTTGTTTGCATCAGATGACGTAATGAAATTCCAAACTACTGAAGCGTATTCAACCTTGGATCTAACTAAAGTAAAGTATAATATGAACATGCATCCAAGGGTTGAATAGTTAAAAGTGATACTGTGAATTATACCTAGCATCTTAATACAATGTGAAAATATAAAATAATATGATCATGAAAATGAAATTTAGAATCAAGATATACGCCCAGGTCTTTCTCTGAATATGTGCAAGTTATAGTGAAATGAAAAAGTTTGTACTCATATATCAAATAGTTTTCCTGGAGAACGTTACAGCTTTGCTTTTGTCAACTTTGAGTTTCATATAGTTCGCTGCACACCAGCTACATATACAGTCAATGTCAGATTGCAGAAGATTACAATCTTCAGGACAGCTAATAGCATGGTAAATTTTAATGTCATCTGCAAAGAGTAGGTACCTGGAGTGCTTAACTGACTCACACATAATTTCTTGTTAAAATTACAAATCTTGAACCTGATTTTGGTACCACATAATCATACACCAGATTATGTTTCAAGAGTGTTGAAAGCAAGCATTTTTAATGTTCTCAATTATAGCCAAATTTTAGTAACAATGGAGAATAAAAGTATGAATTTGAACTAGTTTTCATCCACTCTATCTACACTTTAATGACTCATATTCCTCCTTCAGGAAATAATTTTTGATGAAAACTCCTCTTCAGCACTGGCAAAAAAAAAAAAAAAATTAGATTAATAAAGTGTAAATGGGATTATATCCGATTCTGCATGGCAGAAAGCAGAAGTATTTCTATCTGTAGTTTAACCCAGGTATACTTTAAATTTTGGTGTCTTTTATGTGTCATTCAAAGATCATCTATATTATTTTCTCTTACATAATACATGTGCTAATTTAATTTCTATTTGGGATTATGCAAAAATGTTTTCAGGATGAAAAGTTTCTTTGGAACTGGGAATCAGCACTAATTGACTGATTTAGAAACAAAAACAGCTTGGATATTGAGTGGGTTTATAAAGAAGTGATTTAGTGGGAATTTGTTGTCCCAAATGTTGAGGAAATTATTTGATAATATATATGCTTTGCATTTTTGTTTTACAAACTGCATATGCAAAAAATCTGGATGACTATTTTAGAGAATGTATTATATAAGAACTATCTGAGGAGATGGGGGTTCAAACATGGAATCTCTTAGTTTAATGTGGTTCACTTTGCTGGTGTACTTTATACATTAAAATAAAATGTGAAATCACCATCCAGCATGGTAAATTTCTTTTCTTGTTGTTGTTGTTGTTGTTGTTGTTTTACCGACAGTAAGAAAAATAAATTACATACACTTGGATGGTGATCTCGTACTTTATTTTAACAAAATCCCTTCTTCATTCATTGCCTTCTAAAAATGTATAATAAGAATATGAGCATCATGGTCATAATTTGTCAAATATGGATCTGTGTTGAACAGCAGTAGCTTTTACAGAAAGTCAGTTAAGTTAATGTTGATAGCAGTGTATGGAACATAATGTAGTAGCAGTAAGAAAACCACTATGTGAAAACCGCCAAAGAAGGTGATTACTGATCTCCAATCCCTCAGTATTTCTCCACAACTTGTACTCTGGACAATTTGACAGCTTTACTATAAATTACAAACAAAGCGACAAAAATTATTAAAAATTGGGGGAGAGGCACTGTTTGGAGTGTTATTACTCTGGATGAAATAACAGGAAAATCACTGTCGAAAGTTTTTAAAGATCATGGTACACTATTTTGCCTACAAGTCGGGAAAGTCTATGTCATGGGTCAAATACGTGACAGACATCAGCTTAAGTAAAACGCATAATATTTGACCAAAGACACTGGAAAACTTCAAAACCCACTGAAATGTACTTCACTTAACTTTCCCTAAATTAAATACAACATCGTAATAAATATATTCATGCGATTTATTACAGTTAATCTTCATTTACCTCCGCCGACTGAGACTGTTTATTCTTTGTAGACTTATATCTTATACATTGTAGGTTAGGTTTGTACACTTCACAAAAACTGCGACGTGCCAAAGATATCGTTTTTGGTGCAGACTTTAAAAATGGACTCCCACTCAGTAATGACTTCATATGCAGCACACGACTGGAACTTATTCTAAACGTCCTACAAAAAACACGATTCATTTTGTAATCTGTACCACTTCTCAACCCAGTTCACGGCGCCATAACATCCTTCTTGGATCAACATCAGTTTGGCCAATACAATGCCTGAAAATTCGGTTGCTTAAAAGTAAAATTCTCTATAATTATACAACATTTATTCTGTGTGCATAGATTTATTGTTTGAGCATGTGAATCTCACGAAAGTAAATCAACGAAAATGCGTTATTATTTACCTCTGAGGGAAACTGAATATATAATACTTGGGCAGTAGTCCGTGACTGTGACCAGTGATGGCCCCTATAGCAGGGGGAAAAGTGACTGCCAGTTTTGCTACATAATCGTTATAATTCATAAAAAAAAAGGTAAGGAAAAGTCGTCCCTGTGCTCAATGAATTTAAGCACTACGCCATGAAGGTGTATGGGGAGTGGATGTACAGATCCACATTTTCTTCACGTCGTCACTAACTGGGAGTGGTCAGCTTCATGCCCCGGCAGCTTTACTCCCGGGGAAAGAGCCCCCGGTACCCATTGGATAGGAGGTTGGATGGACCCCAGAGCCGGCCTGGAAGATTTGGAGAAGAGAAAATTCTTGAACCTACCGGGACTCGAATTCCGATCTCTCAGTCGTCCAGCCCGTAGGCAATTACTATACCAACTATGCGACCCCGGCTCATACGGAAGTTTGAAAGCCGTGTGCAATCGCGGACTGGTGTGCACCTTGGAAAATTTCCAATGGTACGGAGAACCTTTGTTGTTCCTGTACAGGGACCGGGACGCTCGGTTTCATGGCTGCTGGTGGAACTGCCACTGTTGTTCGTCGATTCTGAGGTCGCTGCTCCTGTGATGTGCTGCCTCTGAGCGCCGCCGTGAAGGAGACTCTAGGGGTAATGCTATTTGAGGAGAACACCCTTCCCGTTGTGGTTTTGGGTGCTCTCTGCGGTTTCTTCCTCTGCAGTTCCTCCTTCGCTTGTCTGCAGCCCCGATAGTTGGTGGGATGGGGTTTCTCTCCATCCTTCAATTGACAGTTACAGCAAGCTGGAGTGGAGGCAGCGTTCTCTCTCTCTGGACACTCTTTGTGCAGGTGGCCACCCCCGCACCACATGCAACGGGGAGGTTGTTTACAATTAACCCAGACGTGGCCAAACTGTTGGCAGTTGTGACACTGCGTAAGGCCCCTCTGTGCTCTATACGCCTCAACCCGGATGGAAATGTGGCAAAGGTTTTGTAGCTGGAAAATTTCTTGAGATTTTGCCGTACGGGGGAGGGTGATAAGGAAGAGGGGAAGGTTTCTTGTTATCCTTTCTTCTGAAGGCGACCCGCGGGTGGTTGTCATCTGTTTGACGCTAACCACATCAAATCCCAGGGTCACCAGTCCATCAGAAATATCCTCCGCAGGGGTATTGTGAGGGAGGTGACGGATTACAGCCTTTATGGGTTTTTGGGACTTCGGAAAGAACGTATAGTAGGAAAGTCTATTGTTGGATAGACGAGACTTGACAGCTTCGAAATCTGCAATGTTTTCAGTGATGACTCTGGTCCCATTTCTTGGAGTTGTACTGCCACTCCCCCACGTTTAAACACTTAAGTACACAGTTAACTTTTCTTTTACCTTTACATACTTTCTTTCTCAGCCTGCTCTTCGTTTTAATATTGTCACGTGTTAATGATAGACACTATAGCAGGGATTCCCTTCGCTACTCCTCTGTTCAGCTGCTCCACAACAGCCACTCTCTCCGGTCCAGGCCCAGGCTTCGACGGGTCAGGTAAATTGTTGCTGGTTTTCGCCAGCACCGCCATTCTTGGCTCCCAACCCGGGGGACTCACGACCACAGTTTACTGTGTCACGACTTTGGGTACCGTGAATACTACTACTGCTGATACTACTACTACTACTACTACTACTACTACTACTACTACTACTACTACTACTACTACTACTACTACTACTACTACTGGACTACTATTTTTACTGATATTACTTTACTACTATTGGGCACATGGTAGTGTAGTTGGTCGAGGCACTTTACTACCAGCCGGAAGGTCGCAGGTTCTACTCCCGATAAGGTCGCTGGATTTCTTTATTTGACCTAATCCTTTCCAGCCGCACTGTGGCCCTGGGGTTGACTCAGTCTCTAATAGAAATGAGTGCTAGGAATCTACCTGGGAGTAATGTGCAGCTGGCGTATATAAGACTTACAACCCCAAGCCACCTGTGAGCCCATTGTCTATAAAACGTGGAGCCTCAACGTCTCACAACACTAAGGACCTCCACGGCCTGTTGCAGTGATAGCTTTACCTTTTACTGTACTACTACTACTACTACTACTACTACTACTACTACTACTACTACTACTGATGATGTTAATAATTCAATTCATGTTTATATACGT